GTCACAAGGTGACCTCAGGGGTTAGTTTAGATTCAAGGTTTGAAGAGTATCTTAGGGCAATAGTCTCGGGGAGTCCTCCAGTCTCAACCAGTCCAGTAGGTCTTTTTTTAGGAATTTGAGGTTCTGTTCCACATTTTTCTCTCATTCTATCAGGGTTCATCTACTGTGGCCCTGATTACAACAGTCAGTAGTGGTAGGCAGGCACCATCTAGCTCTTCTGGTCTCAGGGTAGATGAGGCTGTAGTTCATGTAGACTGTTAGTGCTGTAAACAAGTTTCTTCTTTGGGTTTTGGTTTCCTTCTTTCTATTTTTCTCCAGACAAGTAGAGACCAATACTTGTATCTTAGATGATCACTTGTAAGCTTTTAAGACCCCATAGGCTACTCACCAAACTAGGATGTAGAACATAAACTTTAAGAACTATATTATGCCAAATGACTGACTTGTCCCACAATATTATGGTCCTGAGTCTTCAAACCCAGAAAACCAATCTTGCAAGGTATTTGGTTGTGTCTAAGAAGTATCCGTAACTGTACCCCTATATGCTTTATCATATATATGAATACATATGCATGCACATACATACATGCATATACATATAAATACACCTATATGTACACATATATACTCACGTATACATATCTATACACATATGTCTAGCAAAAACTAAAACCAAACCCACTGCCATCGAGTCAATTCCAACTCATAGCATTCCTATAGGACAGAGTAGAACTGCCCCATAGGATTTCTAAGGCTGTAAATCTTTACAGAAGCAGAATGCCACATCTTTCTCCCATGGAGAACTGCTGACCTTTTGGTTAGCAGCCGAGTGCCCCAATCACTGTGTCACTAGGGCTCCTTATATGTCTACATATATACACATATACCCATACATATATTTTTTAGTTGTTGTTGCTGTTGTTTCAAAATTATATATGCCATAATCTGTTGCCGTTGAGTCGGTTCCGACTCATAGTGACCCTATACCACAGGGTAGAACTGTTCCACAGGGTTTCCAAATAGCGGCTAGTGGATTCGAACTGCCAACTTTTTGGTTAGCTGCTGAGCTTTTAACAATTGTGCCACCAGTGCTACATATATGCCACAGCAATTACCAAAAGGTCCTTTCTATGTTTAACTTTTTGGGGAAATGCCAAACTATTTTCCACAGCAGCAATGTATAAATGTTTCAATTCCTCTACATCCTCACCAACTTGTTTTCTGTTTTTATTTTATTGTAGCCATCTCGGTAGCTGGTGTGAAGTGGTATCTCACTGTGGTTTTGCCCATTTTGCCCATCCTTCTACTTCCTCAAAAACCAGCTTCCTTCTCAAGTATAAGGAAATCCGGAGAGAACAACTGGAGCACCATTTTCTAGTATGCCCACACATTGCTTGAAAAATAAACCTGTGAGTGTTATGTGCACATTTCACAAAACTACGTTGGACCCCACAGATATCTTTTGATATTATGGTTAACTTTAAAAAAATTGTCACTGATGATTCTGGCAATTCCCCATGATCTCTCTCAAGCCCCAATACTTCTGTAATAACTACACAATGAGATAAATGATGAAACATAATCTCTTGAGGATCTGTATTTTTTCTTAGTTGATTACATGACTTTTTTTCAATATCCAAAAACAACTTTGGTATGTATTTTCTCCTGCAAAGGCAACAAATGTGAAGATTTATGTGCTGAATAAAAACAGATGCAATTGAAAGGCTTAGAGTTTTGTTCAGAGTCAAATACAGGTAATTAGAATACAACAAAGGAGGACGAAAGAACGTCATTCCAGAGGCAATGTCTTACCGAAAATATTGATCTTCCTCTCACCGACTTGGGGTAGTAACGTTTCTTTAAAAACAAACAAAAATATGTTTTGCTAAATACCAAAACTGCATGTCCATCTGAAGCCATAAATGAGGAGACAGTCATGGTAGGGATGCTGCCTGCAGGTTGTCACCGAGGTTGAAAGCTATAGTTGGAAGCCTGTCTAAGCTTAGGGTAATTGCATATGCAAATAAGTACTGGGAAAATGCTCCCAGGATTCACCTTCATAAGTATTTTGAGAACTCATTACAGGTTATGAAACCTTAGTGTTCTCACATTACATTTATGAGAAGCAGTGAAAAGCAGTTCAGGTAACACAGCTGTAATTGAATAGCCCAGTGGAGTGGTGGCTGCAGAAAGAAAACAAACATGGCCGATTCAGGTTTTGGAAAATTGAGGCCTTGGGGGCTGCTATTCCAGTAGAGTTAGGAAAAAACCCTTCTGCCAGTATGTGGTAAAACAAGCACTGACTCCAAAAATGTCAATAACTTACAGGCTTTTTTGGATTCAGAGAGAGTCACATTAAAATGACTAAATTTGTATTGGTATCTTTATTTCGCATGGTTAAGGCATTTCTGTTAGAAGACTAGGGGATGCTGGTAGATAATGTCAGCAGAATTTGCTCAACATCGACAAAGCGAGTTCAGCCTAGGTCCCCAGGGAACCTATTTTATTCACAGGGAATCTGGTTTATCATTTCATGTATTCAATTCATTCAAAGGTATGATGGGTAGTGGTTAGTTGCCTGTTTTAGGGTTGAAAGAGATTTAGACATCACCCAGAGCAGAAAACCTTCCTATGACACTCCCCTTAGGGGCTTTAAGTTACTGCCATACTCTGGACAAGTTATTTCATTCACTGTTCTTTTGTTTCTCAGTTAACAAGAAGGGAAGATTGTGTGTACCACTGAGTACAATATGGAGGTCATTTACAGAAAACTTGGAAAAATACATTGTGCTTTCCCTACCAGGCCTAGGCCACCCAATTTAACCAAGCGTCGGCCTGAGTTTATATCTACAGGGTGCTGAATTGCCATCTAGTGGAAATTAACCTAGGCTGCCCATCTTGATGTGAACCTCATTCTTCAACAAACATTTATGGAGGCTTACTCGATGTCAGGGCTTTGTGCTTAGAAAGTATGAGGTGAAGTACAAAGTCTAATAAAATATGATGGTATCTACTGTAATAAAAGGCTTGCAATTTAGCGGTTCACACTTATTATTACTAACATTTTTCTTCTTTTTTTGGGGGGGGGCGGAGTATGGTTCAAGGATGCTGGAAGGGTGTGGTAGCTAATATATAATTATGTGAAAGGAGACCTGATGACTAAGTGGTTAAAAGCTAGGCTGCTAACCAAAATGTTGGCACTTCGAATCCACCAGCCACTCCTTGCAAGCCCTATGGGGCAGTACTACTCCATCGTACAGGGTTGCTATGAGTTGGAATCCACTGGATCGCAATGGGTTTGGTTTGGTTTTTGGTATGTGAAAGGCACTTTCTATGTGTCTTAGCAATAACTCATTAAATACCCAAATAATCCCACAAAGTGGGGACTATTCTATGCCTATTTTACAGATAGGAGTCTTCACGTGGTTGGCGCAAATGGTTAACCCATTCAGTTGCTAACTGAAAGGTTGGAAGTTGAGTCCACCTGGAGGTGCTTGGCAGTAAGGCCTGGAGATCTACTTCTCAAAAATCAGCCATTGAAAACCCTATGAAACACAGTTCTACTCTGAAACACATAGAGTCCCTATGAGTCAAAGTGGTCTCCACAGCAACTGGTTCTGGTTTATTTTACAGATAAAGAAACTGAGGCACAGAGATTAATTACTTCCTCAGGATTACACAGCCACTAATTTGTGAAAGCAAATTTGAAAACAGGCAGTCTGGTTTAGGAGAGCCAGAAACAGAGGAGTGAAGCCATAAAGAGAAATGAAATTCTGATCATGCTACGACACGAATGAACCTTGAAAACATTATGCTGAGTGAAATAAGTCAGACACAAAAGGATAAATACTGTATGACCCTACTTACATGAAATATCTAGAATAAGTAAATGCATAGAAAGCAAAGTTTATTAGTGGTTACCAGGGGCGGGGAGTTATTTCTTAAGAGGTACTGTTTCTGTTTAAGGGGATGAAAACGTTAATAGTGATTATAAGTAACGTCACTGAATTGTACACTTAAAAACGGTTAAAATGGCAAAGTTTTTGTGATACATTTATTTTACCACAACTAAAAAAACGGGGAGGGGAGGAAGTCTCCGAGAGTTAGGTGGAGGAAGTAGTGGAAAACAGGCAGGGGAAGAAGCGTGAGGGGAAAAGAGGGCGGGTGTTACCTTCATAATTTACTTATGATTTGCATCATTTAATGCTTGAAGTCACCGTCAGAAATGGAAAGTTAAACAAAACTTAGGAATATTAAGGTTCCACCGGCCCCGAAAAGGCCTCTCCCTCAGTTTAGAGGACCTGGAGGGGTCTTTCCTTCGTTATGACCCCAACAGCAGGCCCGGCTGGCAAGCTCCTCCATGCGAACTACAACCCCCGGAAAGCACCGCGCGGGAAGCGGGGCCTACGCTGAGGGAAAATTGGGGTGTTCTAAACGTGTCTTGAGAAAAACATCACGTACGTTTCTCGCTGCTCTCACCCTGTCACACAAATCCCACTTCCAGCAGGTCACATCGCTTTTTTTTCCAACAGTGTGGCTGTCAGGCGTGTAGCGCCCGTCTGCCTCCAGGCACAGCAGCGGACAGGCGCGGCTGCCCGGGGTGCAAGGACCTCAGGGCGCGCGTTCCTCAGGGCGCGCGTTCCTCAGGGCGCGCGTTCCTCAGGGCGCGCGTTCCTCAGGGCGCGCGTTCCTCAGGGCGCGCGT